TTTTTAAAATCCAATCTGCTAGCCTATGTCTTTTGATTGGTGAGTTTAGGCCATTAAATTCAGGGTTATTATTGAGACATGATTTGTATTTCCAGCCATTCTTGTTTATTTTTGATATTTAACTGATTTTGGTTTCTCCTGTGATTAGTTTTTCCTTTAGTGTAATACCTCTCTCTGCTGATTTTCATTCTTGTTTTTCATTTCCTCCTCCTAGAGCATTTTGCTGAGGATGTTCTGTAGTGCTGGCTTTCTAGCTGTAAATTCTTTTAACTTTTGTTTATCATGGAAGATTTTTATTTCATCATGAAATCTAAAGCTTAATTTTGCTGGATATAAGATTCTTGGTTGGCATCCATTTTCTTTCAGAGCTTGTATATGTTTTTCCAGGATCTTCTAGCTTTCAGGGTCTGGGTTGCTGAAAAATCTGCAGATATCCTAATTGGTTTCCTCCTATATTTAGTCTGATTCCTTTCTCTTGTAGCTTTTAAAATTCTCTCCTTATTCTGTATGCTAGGTGTTTTCATTATAATCTGCCTTGGTGTGTATCTGTTGTGATTTTGTACATTTGTCATCCTGTAAGCCTCTTGTATTTGGTTTTTCAATTCATTCTTCATGTTTGGAAAATTCTGTAATATTATTTCACTGAATAGATTTTTTGGTTTGGAACTCGATGCTTTCCTCTATCCCAATAACTCTTAAATTTGGTCTTTTTATATTATCCCATAATTCTTTAATGTTCTGCTCATGGTTTCTTACCATCTTCACTGTGTGATCTACATTCTTTTCGAGATTATATATTTTTTCCTCATTGTCTGAGGTCCTGTCTTCCAGATGGTCTAATTTGTTGGTGATGATTTCTATTAAGCTTTTAATTTGGTTTATTATTTCTTTTATTTCAAGGATTTCTGTTTTTTTTTTTTCAGAACCTCCATCTTCTTTCTGAAGTAATCTTTTGCTTCCTGTATTTGCTTATGTAGCTCTTTATCAAAATGATCTTTTGTTGCCTGTATTTGTTCTCTTATATCATTCTTTAATTCACAGAATATTTTAATTTTGTATATCCTGAATTTCTCTGTAATTTCATCTGTTGTGCTACCCATGGATTCTAATAATGTAGTATCTTGTTTTGTTTGGGGCAACTTTCTCCCCACTTTTTTTTTCATGCTATTTGTGTGTCTTTCCTTCTAGCACTGACTATCTGCAGCATTACTGTTTTTTATACTTTAGGCTTTTAGTGCCCCTGCAAGTGTTCTAATACCTCTCCTGCCCAGCTGGTGTTCTAAGCCCAGTGGGGGTGGATTTGGGCAGAGAACGTGGATTTCCCCAGAACGTGATTGTAGACGGCTGGTGTGAGTTCGGGAATAAAGAGTTGCTGTTTGAATCTACAAGCTGTGTGGTGGCTCGTGATTTTGTGCCCAGCCAGACTGCGGCATTTGGCGTCCCATGCGGGGAACTTCTGAAGCTTAGAGGTAAGTGAAATTTCTCACCCTTGAGGAAGAGAGAAAGAATGGGTGAACATTTCAAAAAACAATGTGTTATTGTTTTGATTTATTTTGTTTTTATTTCAAGTTGCCTATTCCTAGAACTTTCTCAGGCAAACTGGGGAAAATGGTTGACTCAAGGTTTGAAGTTGTTCGCCTCCGAGCAAGAGAAATTGTTAGAGGAAGGAGGTACCCCAGTGAGACCAAGAACAATTAGGGCATATGTTGATACAATACAAAAATGTAGCCCATGGCTTTTTAAAGACAGGTTATTAAGTATATCAATGGGACCATCATGGTATCCTGTAGAAGGATTTTTCTTTAACAAGAAAGAGATGGCTAGTTCTGTTTACTACATTTGTCTAAGATCTTGGTTTTTACAGACATCTGATTAATTTACAAAGCTAAAGTGTTAAAATATCAACCACTAAATATAAAATCAAGTACTCTTTACTGCCGCGTCCGGCCAAGGGAGCCGAGTCCGGCGAGGGACGGCGAGGTTAAAAGACACACAGGACACCAAGGTTCTTCATCCAGGAGTCAATACCCTTTATTGCTAACACACTTTTTTTATACCCCAAGCAGCAGAAGTGGAAAACTACCCAAAATCAGGAGGGAGGGGGGAGAAATTTAGTTTCTACATCTATTATTGTCAGGTACCGAAACCTCCCTTAACAATAAGTCCATCAGACCAGAAAAGGTCAAGGCATTCCCGTGGGATACATATGTCTCAGACGGACAAGCAGGAACAGAAAAACCGCAAGTTCGCCATGGCCTTGTGAGCTGGCCACACTGGCATGCAGAACAAACTAGTGGAGGTAGGGCTCCAGGGGCCAGGGTGGACCTGCTGCCAACACTTTACTTATTAAGTTCCATAAGGTAATATATTTAAACATTATGTGTGTTTTCATAAATTGGTAAATGGAAAAATGTTTAATATTGCTTTGTGTCTGTGTCTTTGCTAAAACAAGGTTACTAAGTGTTAAGATTCTATCATGTGTAATTTATATACAAAGAGTAGAAAAATTTTCAGTTGGGTTTCAATTATAGTATTATAGTATCATAAAAAACATGAAAGTCTTTCATCTTATTAAAGTGGAGTAATTTGTCTAAATCAGAAATTTTATAAGAGTTGTTTCAAAATGTGAATTTATAAAAAGGGTTAATGGTTAAAAAAGAGAAAAAGATTCAAGATGTGGAAATATATTTTAATATAAAAGGTTAAAGGAAAAAGAAATGATTCTAGATGAGATAATCTGTGTGGTAAAGTAAAAAGTTGTGAAATGCCATTTAAAAAGAATTTGAGGAAACTAGACTTAATTTAAAAGCTTGAGAAAGGAAGAAAGAAGAAAAAGATATTTGTACATGGCAGATTGAGACAAAGCTTCTCAATGGAGTTAAAAAAAAAGCCTTTGGTTGAAGGGCAGCCATGTCAACTAACATTAAAGCGATTTAAACAGAATCTAAGCCTCGTTTAAAAGAGTGAAGTTGTAGGTGGTGAAAAAGTACATTTAAAAGTACAGTATAGATGATAATTAAAAGGCTTTAAAAGGTTAAATTGAAGGTGGTCAAGATACCTTCATGGCGGAAAAAAGATTGCTTTATTGCATCATTCGAAGCCTAGTTAATCGTAAAGGCATTACTTAAAAAAAAATGGGAAGATAATAGGATAAAAGATATTTAGATAAAGAAGATTAAAAATTTGAAGTGAAAAACTTTAAAGACAGAAGTATAGAAAGTGAAAAAGAAAAAAAGATAGAAAAGATGTAGGAAGACAATAATTTTAAACCCACAAAATAGGAAACAAGAAAACTAAGAGGAAAGAAAAAGCAACTAAGGGTGAATGTACAAACCTTAAAAAAAAAAAAATTAGAAGATAGAAACAAGATAAAAATGGTTGAATATGTCAAGTAAAGGTATTTCAGATAGAAAATACAAAAAGCTAAGACAACTATTAGATACAGACATTCAAGATAGAAAAAGGTAGAAGAGAGAAGTTTAAAGTCAAATATTGGATAAAATAGAAGAACAAGGAGATTATTAGTAATTTTTTCAAAAAGCCCATCAACTTTAATTTCTGGTGGTGCAGATATTAGAAGTCTCAGATGAGGGTGTTAAAATTTATAGACAAAAGCCAATTTAGAAAACGTTAAACTAGAAGGAAATTGGTTTAAAACCACATCAAAAAATTAAAAGGACTAAAATAATTCTAAAAACTAAGGCAGAATGCTTTTGAAAGACTTAAATTTAAAAGGATTTTTAAGGAGTATATATCCCCCAAAGATAAACTTAAAATAACCCTTTTTACCCTAAACTTTTTAAAATTTAGATTCATTAGGACTTAGTGCTGCGGAAAGGCATATGTATCCAAAAAGCCTAAGGTACTTTGGAAAGATATTCTAACAGGACAATGGAAAGGTCCTGACCCAGTGATTGTCTGGAGTCGGGGTTTTGTTTGTGTGTTTCCACAGGAAGAACAGCAGCTGATTTGGATTCCAGAGAGATTAACTAAAACAATTTCTACAGATTGAAAAGAAGATGATTTGACTCAAATCCATAACAGCTGATATCCAGAACTCTAGCTTGGCCATTCTTACATCTGCGACAGTGATTAACCAGTGATGCAATTTTTATTTCCTTGCCAGCGCACCCCATGTTAATTGTGGTAGTGCTAGCATATCTTTGCTGATGGTGTCACCAGTGATGCAATTTTCCCCAAGGAGCCGTCAATTGGCTTGGTGTCTTGGCATTTCTGTATCCTCCTCCCTTCTGCTAGTGATGGTCTAAAATTTGGGGGCCAATGGCTATATGCTGGACCGGTAGTCAGTGATGGGTATGATCCAATTGCAGTGGTATCAACCTAAGACAGGAGGCTGACGCCTAAAGGTCAGTTTTCCGATGACGGGTAAGAACCATATGTTGAATTGGACAACCTACCAGGCACGGTCCTTAAGCCACATTGCTGTTGTTTAATTAATCAGAAGGGGGGAGATGCTGGGAGCCATTAGCCAAGTAGGTACGACAATTTCCTTGCTAGCGTACCCCATGTTGCTTAGTGGAAGGACTCGTGGAAATAGGACATTTTGCAGTGACATTGCATGTAGGTGACCTTGCTCAAGGACCAAGGCGGATCCGAGTTTAGGGCGTTCCCGATTTATGACTATCCAGGTTTAGGGTGGTTCCAGGTTTAAGATTATTCCTGCTGGGAATAGGGCGTATCCTGCTGCCTGAGTTCCCCTTGAGTTCTCACGGGATTCAGACAGTATTTTTTGGGAGACAGAAGCCCAGTGGGAGTGGATTTGGGCAGAGAACGTGGATTTCCCCGGAACGTGATTGTAGACGGCTGGTGTGAGTTCGGGAATAAAGAGTTGCTGTTTGAATCTACAAGCTGTGTGGTGGCTCGTGATTTTGTGCCCAGCCAGACTGCGGCAAGTTGCCACAACTAAAGATGGCAAGGATGGGTCACAAGATGGAAGTGGTTGCTTCAGCAATGGAGTGTCAGGTTGGGCGAGGGGGCCCCTAGCGATGATGTTGGGCAATGTGTTCAAAGATGCAGTTGGGACCCAGTGTGGGCTCCGTGGGCATTGGTGGGGCTATCCTGGGACATTCCAGGGCTCCACAGATATGATCTTTTTTTTTCATAGCCACTTTTGAAATTAAAAGGTCATAGTGGAAAACCATCTAAATAGGAATTGAAAGAAAAAAAATCACAATGTCTAGTTTTAGCTCTCACAATAATTAACCATACACTTTGGGCAAATCAAATACTCTTCTAGTCCATATTTTCTCATCCCTTATATGAAGACAGTTATTATAAACTTGCATATATATATAATATATATAATCTTTTATATATGTTCTTTATTGTTAATTGATGCATAATTGTTATATATATATCCACGGGGTACATTATGGTGTTTTGCTATATGTATACTATTATATACATCAAATCAGAATAATTAGCATATTCATCACCTCAAATATTTTAAATGGAAGTTTATAAAGTTTTCAATTGTAAAATAATGTATACATATTATTGTACAGTTTGAAAATCCTGAAATGTGCTAGAAAATAAGATCATCTATATACTCATTACCTAAAAAATTATGCTTAACACTTTCATTTCCTTATGGTGTGACTTCCTTTGTTGGCTGGCAGGTGTACGCTATAACTAAGTATTATCACTTACAATTACTATTAAACATCTAGTAGTCTAATTGTATATTCCTTTTTTTATTAGTGTAATGCATGCATTTAATTTTAAAGTCAAATAATACTATAGCCATGATAACAATCAGTACTTCTCTGTACTGCCTATTTCACACATTATTATTTCTGACTCCAATTTCTTGAGACAAAAATTTTTGACTGTTAGCATTTTGTTTTAAATATTTATGGCCTAACTTACAAATGTAAGCCATGTGCACTATCATTATTTGATTTCTCCCTTCAGTTTAATATATTATTGATTGACTTTCCATAATCTAAGAATAGGATTTAGATCTCCTACTACCTCCTCTCACCTTCTCATACACTTTCTGCTAAGTATAACAATACAAAAAACAGACATTTAAAAAATATCATTTTAATAATTTTGATTCACAATATTTGATTCACAATAGTATTTGTATTTTTTATAGTTAAGTATCTAAAACAGTGTAATTATTTATAGCTTTCTTTAATTAATCTGTCTTTTATTTTTATGGATTATATAATTGCCTTGCTTTTTCACTTTCTTCATCTTCCACTTATTAATCATTGATTATGATGTCATTTACATGCATTTTTTTTCTGTAGCCATTCCTCTGACCATTTACAGTCATGATCTGACTGGAGCTGGCTCTTCTCTGAGCTGCTGCAATGCCTCTAATTTGTGAGTGTTTCTGGATTTGCTTCAGCTTTGAGTTGCTTCATTTTTCTGTTTCTTCCCCAAAGACACTTAGCAAAGTGGAGAAACTTGAAGCTCCTGTCAATTAGGACATCTATCTGTATCCATCTCATTAATCTTTTCAGGTACTGAGATCTTATGGCTAAGTTTCCTCTGTTATCTTCTGTCTCATTGTTTTTCTGAATTAAATACATTTTTATTCCATTACTGAAATCATAGTGGATTTCTAAAGGGAGTAGACGTGTTCATTCTACCATGCATAACTTAAAGTTAGAAATAGCCAGGTCATAAAATTATCATGAGGATAAATCTGATATTGTACATGATAGCAGTTTGTGCACCATAAGTCCTACACACATATCTGGCATTACTACTCTACATTAACATGTTTCTTCAGAATTCTTTCTCATTTGACACAGGGAGATTATATTAACAGCACTAAGTCTTTGGCTAAGTCTTTGGCTTTTACCTACATTTCAGAAGTCTTCATCCCTATTAAAATCCTAATTATTTGGGGGAGTGTCTGGAACCAGGGAACATTACTTACCATTTTGTTTAAATCTGTACTAAGTACCAGGTAAGCTGCTTTAGACACTTTGGGTATAAATTACTAAATAAGATAACAATTCCTCCACTTTTGGATTTGGATTATAGTCAGAAAAGACAAACACGAGTCTCCAGATAAAATTCAGCTGTGTAGTACAGCAGCAGACGATAAGTGTTACAAAAAAGGAAAAAAAAAAAAAATATATAAAAATAAAAAATAAATAAAAATAAATCAATATATATATATATATATATATATATATATATATATATATCTGCATTAGGAGGTGGGAAATTTCTGAGTTGGGAGAGGTTGCAATTAAAGTAGGGGACTCAGGATGAGAAGGTGACTTTTGGGGGGGGGGAAAGGCTAAAAGAAGGTGAGAGAGTGAAGAAATGCTGATATCTAAGGAAAAGATTGTTACAAACAAAAGAAGCAGTCTTAAGGCCAACAAGGGCAGATGGTTGTGGATAATATGTGGTAGGCTTGAGGACCATATTCCTGGAACAAATAAATGGGTAAAGGACAGAGTTGTAAGAACAGAAATCCAAGAAGAGTACATATCATATAGGGCCATGTGTCAAGGACTTTGGCATTTTCTCTGCTTAAGGTAGAATCTCATTAGTTTCATTAAGGGGCATGATCCTCCTAATAGTGGAAAAAAAATCTTCATAGGAAAAGATATCCCACATCATATGTCATCAGAGAAATACAAATTAAAACAACAATGAGATTGCACCATACACTTATTGGAATGCCCAAACTCAGAGCACTGACAATACCAAATGCTAACAAAGATGTGGAACACCAAGAACTCTCACTCATTGCTGGAGGAACTATAAAATTGTACATCCGCATTGGAAGATCTTTGGGAATTAAAAAGAAAAAAACTAAATATGTAATTCAATATTCTTGCTCTTGGTATTTACTCTAAGAGTTAAAAACTTATGTCCACACAAAAATCTGTACATGAATATTGATAGCAGCTTCTTCATTCATAATTGCCCAAACTTGGAAGCAACCAAGATATTCTTCAGTATGTGAATGGATAAACAGTGGTACATTCAAACAATGCAATTTTATTCAGCATTGAAAATAAAGGAGCTATCAAGCTATGAAACTTGTATACATATATCAAAGTCAAATGAGCCAAACTGAAAAGACTTCTTTTTCCAACTACATGCTATTCTGGAAAAGAAAAACTATGAAGACAGCAAATGGATCAGCGGTTGCCAGAAGTTAGAGGGGAGAGAAGAATGGAGAGGCAGATCACAAAGAATGTGTAGGGCAGTGGACCTACTCTGTATGACATTATAATGGTCGATATATACCTTTATAAATTTGTCAAACCTATAGAATGTATGATACCAAGAGTGAAACATAATATAAACTATATACTTTGGATGATTCTGATGTACCACTGTAGATCACCAGTTGTAACTAATGTAGTCCTATGGTGAAGGATGTTCATGATAGGATAGGCTACACATGTGTGGAGATGGGGTATAGGGGACATGTCTGTACCTTCTGCTCAATATTGCTGTGAAGCTAAAACTTCTCCAGAAATAATTGATTAGAAAAGATGACTGTAGCTACTATTTTGTAGGTAGAATATAGGAGAACAAAGATGGGAGCAAATGGAAAATTTAGATGATATTGTAGTTATCAGGTAAGAACTGATATTGAATGGCTTTCACCAGAGATATGCTAGGTAGGAAATCTTTGAGTCTACAAATACTTTGAAAGTAGCGTCAACAAGGTTTCCTGACAAAATGGATGTAGAAAGTAACATAAAAACTCAAGGATGACTTCAAATGCTTTATCCTGAGCAACAGGAAGTTTGCAGCTACCATTAACTGAGATGGATAAAGTTTTGATAAAATAGGTTTGGGAAAAGAGGACTGGAGTTACGTTTAGTTCAGTCTGATATTATCTATTGATAACCAGTCAGGTATGTGTTGCCATTTAGATGTGAGTTGTGCCCCCACAAGATCATGTGTGAGACAATGCCAGAAGTTTTAGAGGAGAAATGATTGGGTTATGAGAGTCTTAACCCAATCAGTGAATTAATCCTGATGGGATTAACTTGAGTGGTGATGGAAGGTGGGTAGGATGTGGCTAGAGAAGGCAGGCAGTGGGGGTATGCCTTCGGGTATATATTTTTATCTAAAGAGTGGAGTCTCTCTCTGCTTCCTGATAATCATGCCACCTCCTTCTGCTACACTCTTCTCTGTGATGTTCTGCCTCATCTTGAGACCCAAGGAATGAAGCCAGTTGTCATTGGACTGAGATGTCTGAAACTGTGAGCCCCCCAAATAAACTTTTTCTCCTCTAAAATTGTTCTGGAAAGGTCTTTTAGTTAGAACAGTGAAAAAGCTGGCTCAAAGAGTATGTCAATTGTTTGGCATAAAAAATTTGTCAGCTGACTACCATAGGATATCTGCTATGTTTTTCGTTTTTGCTTTTTTTTCCTACCCTGGCCCCTGCTGGTGGTCACTGTTGATGTGCCACTTGAAAAGGTCTCATTACTACTTCTGCAGTCAGAGTCCTCAATGAGAATAATGACGTCGATGCGAAAGTTTCTTATTATGGAGCTTCAAGCAAAGCCAAGCCTTGAAGGCAGAGAAAGACTGGTCTCTGAAGTACATATTCACACAAGTAAAATGGCGGCCTTCTCCTTACTCTCCTCATTGGCATTACACATGTGCTTTTCCTTAAGCAATATCCATCTGCTTCTGTCTACACTTTCTCCCTCCTCAGGCTGAGGAATAAGAGCTCTTGGACTGAGACCTGTAATCTTTTCCTCTTCTTCTTCATTTAAGCTCCTCCTTCAACTCCAAGCTTATTTTTTCCTTACTATTCTTTCCTCTTTCCTCATACTAACTTGAATATTCTCTTTCTGGTTCTAGGAATGGACATGTCTGAATCTCTACTTAGGCCATTGTTAAAGTATTATAATTTTATTGACTCTATAGTAGAGGAGAGGTCTGATTAAGATGGAAATAATGAGGAAGAGACAAATATGAGTAACAATACAGTAGAATCCTAAACTGGACGGAGGTGATTCCTAGCACTTGGTTCCTGCCCACTTGAAAACTAATGAAGAACTATTATACTGGTTGTGTAGCATAAAAAGTATAACAGAGTAATATATGAAAAGTTCACTAATTCATTACTAAAACATCTCCATGACTAAATTTTTTCCCTACATTCATTTTCTCTACTACTTGCACATTTTCAGATTATATTATTATGTCTCTAGGAATTCTTAGTAAATGAAAGAATTATTCTTAAATGTAATATTTTGGAATTATACTTTCAGTTGATGATCCAAATCTAAAAACAACCTTGTGTTTTTGGAATTTCTTCATATGGGGGTGGAGGACCTAGTGTGTCAAAACATGGAACAGGGTACTGTTCAAGGTTTTGAGTTTGAAGGTGAATTCCAAGAGTTGGACTCACAGCTGCTTCAGTCCCTGGAAAGAAAAAGAGATATGTCATCTTACTAGACAGCATAAAGCAGAAGTACACAAAATGCCTGAAGAAATCTGCCATTTTTTTTTATCACTAGGGCAACTGAAAATTATTTGTGCACTTGAGAAAAAATTTACAACTATCTTGCTCTCCAAAGTGATAGTTTAGTCATGATAGCAAGAAAATTTCCTTGAATGAAGTGATCATATCATTATTGACCAACCCATCAAGAAGCATTTACAATTTTATAACTGAAACTAGGAGGAATGTTTTTTTTTTTTTTTCATAGAACAGAATAGAGGATTCCTTACACAGCATTTTAGCTAATACTCCCAGCATAGGACATGCAGGTTTCACTTTCTAGTGTCTAGTTTTTCTACATTAAAATATCACTTTTAAACTTTATTTGTATTTATTTTTACTAACTGCAAATAATGCAAAAATCACTTTAAACATTTTCTTGTAATAGTAAAAATGTTAAGATAAATGCTGAAAAATTTGCATTTAAAGTATATCACACACACGGATTCTAAAATTTAAAAACATACTTTGAAATAAAGATTCTGCAAAGTGTGAAATATGATATATCAAGAAATTTGTAATGTTTTGAACAACCAACAATAAAAAATTAAAAAAAAAAAGAAGTGTAGTTTAGAGGGAAAGAACCAGAAAGTTACTGCTGGTTGCTTCATATCTCATTGTTAAATTCCTTAGAGTTAAGAAAGGGTTGATGTGTGGCTTTCAGAAATGATAAGAGGTTATGAATTTTATATTTCAGAAAACATTCATTGCCAGGATTGTGAAACAATATTCAAGGCCAAATAGAAAACCAGTTAGTCTGGATTTGCAATTTGTCGAATAATCCTCCAACAGTATCAACAGAAGATGTAAAATTTGGCAAGACTGAATGTTATCAATACTTTCTATCAAGACAGTAGAATGAACCAGACATAATTTTCCTATGCTCGGCCAGTGTAACTCCACATCATGTACAACCACAGAATGGGATAAAAATTGGAATGGGTTGCACTTGAAGTATGTATAATATGTCAAAATACACCCTACTGTCATGTATATCTAAAAACAACAAATTAAAAACATACTTTCTATATGTAAAAAAAAAAAAGAAATAAAGATTCTGGTTTGTAGATTGTACAATAAAGTCACTAAATATCAAAAACAGGCCTTCTCATCCACAAACTGGTAACCTTGAGGGACTTTGAATTTATCCTAGTAACTTTTAGAACTCTATTAGTATTTTTTGAAAGATTATTTTTGAGCCACACAGGAAATCAATAGTAATATTTTATAACACTCTTTCTTTGTATACATTTTTTTTCACCTGAGTCTTTACCTGACTTTGAATGATTTTGATTGCTTCTTCCCAAAACAATAGTAATGACCGTAAATTTAATTTTATAGAAGTCCTTGAACTAAATCCAGCTCTTGGGTGTTTTTGTATATTAAATTTAACTGGAACGCATCTATACCTATTCATTTACATATTGACTATGGCTGCTTTTGAACTATAGTGACAGAGGTGAGTAGTTCCTTCAGAGACTATATGGACTGCGAAGCCAAAAATATTTTATCTGTCCTTTAATAGAAATTTGCTGACCTTCCTTGAAGAATTCCACTGGGAAGTTTCCAAAGAACATGGTCCAATTATAAAACAAATTTTAAAATGTGTTACTTATTAGGCATTAGCTGCATCACACAAGCCCATATGTAGATTACTCAAAATGTTTACTTGGGTGTGGAACAACAATTTAGAATCATGAATTTTTATACATTTGTATTTGCCTGATTTCTTATCTTGCTGGTCCTTATAGCAAAGTGTAATAATGCAAACATGAATATAGCATATGAAGGGTAGAATACAGTTAGAATATTAGTCTCACCTGTTGATTCAGTAATTTTCTCAGAAAGTTATTTATTTAATTGAATAATCCATTCCTAGGCTATTGCATAATATTTATTTACCCAAACTTTTTTGTACAATAAAATGATAATGATAGTGTCTACCTATAAAAAAGCAGTACAATGTTTAAGGTGAGTTCTGGCACACAGTAATGTTTATTATTATTTCTATTACTTATAAATAATTTTACTATGCTATGAATACACATGTACTTTTTGTTTATAATAGATCTTTTATTTTAATGGCTACATAATGTTTTAATAAGTATCAATATTAGTTTGAACAAAAATCATAAAATAAAAAATATCCTGGATTAAATCTATAGATTTAAGCTGACACCAGCTGTCTGTGGGACTTGATCATTAGTAAAACATATTGCCTAAGTAATTCCAGCCATTGTGAAAGCTTGTACTCAAAATTGACTATTTTCCTGGGAGACTGCTCCAGGTATAGTCAATATAAAGTCAATGGTAATGTCTACCTGGAAATTGTTGACCAGGTGACTCTAACACATTTATTACCTTTTCTAATTTACTTCTACTTCTCCAATATACTCTACTACTGCTATTATGAATGTTGTGTTCTAGGCAACAGGATCTTGACAATTATGCTCTGTGATTGGAAAATTTTATTATTTCCTTAACTACAGATTTGTCTGTTGCTCTGAAACTTGTTATAAAAACTACAAGGCATTTGATTAATAAAGGCAACTAAGCTAATATGCTCAGAAAGCTTTTGAAATAGAAAATATATCAGTTTTTAATTGTTTTCAAGGCATGTTTCCATATAATTCATGTGATTGGGGGCGAGGAAAGCAGGTGTTACTTTTATCTTTTAAAAAGTTAAGAAACTAAGGGAACTCAATTTAGAATGCCTACAAAAATCCTATAGTATTACCAGAACTGCTGGCTAAAATATTAGAATTTATTGCTTAATGTTGTAAAACCTATACATTTACCACTGAGTTTTCATACCCCAAATTCATGTTTTCCACATTGTTAAGAGTAATTCCAATAGACTTGACATTTTAATATGTCTTTTCTATTTGTTCTCTTTTTCCTCCTTGATCTCATCCCTTTATCATATATGGAAATCATTCTCAAAGGCCTGAATTTGACTCTACCATCGACTAACTGTGCTGCTTAGTCTGTAAATGCCTTCATTTTCTCATCTGTAGAGTATTTCAAATTATGGTAGGCCCTCAAAGAGTTGTAGAGAAGAATAAATGAAATTCAAATATCAAAGTCCTGGGTCATAGTAAATGCTCAATAAATGTGAATTATCACTATTGTCATGCCCTTCCTGGAAAGTGTGTGAATAAAACACTCCTTCTTTCCCTATGTTAAAAAAAAAATCCCAGACCATTTACACATAGAACATAAAATACACAGAAGAGATCTCTAAGGATCCTAAAATGAACAAATCCTGAGAGACCAGAGGGGAGAAAGGGACACAGTGTGAGAGGCCCTGCTTCTTGCTCACCTCTCTCCAGCCTCCTTCCTCTCTCCGGGTCAGAGCACTCACATTTAATCACTGCTGGAACACCAGGATCTCTATTTTCTTTGAAATAAGAAAAAAGAGAAAATTATCTGTAAGGAAGAAATGGGGTCAGGGAGATTGGATAGTTGGAGGGCAGCCTCATGAGGGAACACCAGACCTGAGAAGCTAAGCCAGAATGAGTGCCCCCAGGAGGAGTGTCTCTGTGGGCTTGCAACTTGCTGCCTCCTCAGGAAAGGTCAGGGGACCTTTTGAGGGCTGAGAGAACCCAGCTCCAATCCAGGAGAATATGGAAGGAAAGTAAAAGTACACTAAAGTAGATTTGACAGTGATTCACTACTTTTCATTAAAACATGGACAAAGAGTGGCCTGGTCACTCTCCTATGCTCTTTTCTAATGAACACTACATTGTTTATTTACTGCAAGCTCAAATTTGTCTTTTACTTATTTCCTTAACTCCAAGTTTATTTTCCTTCATTGTCTTTAAATGGCTATTTCCTCATTAATAGGGACTTTTATTCAGCTTTATGGCCTTATTTTCAGTGAAATCTTTCCTTTATCCTTGTTTTCAGTGAATTAAGATAGAACAATCTGTGTTTTTGAACAAATTTTAAAACTCCGTTGACATTACATTACTTACTTTTCACATACCAATTTAAAACAAAATAGCTAACATAACAAACTAAAAATTTTTTTCCTGTCTTTCTTTCTTTCTCCCCCCCCACCTTTGTGACTGGGGTTTTGCTATGTTGCCCAGGTGGCTCTAGAATTGTTGGGCTCAAGCTGTCCTCCCACCTCCACCAGTCAATAGCTGGGATTTCTGCTGCATATCACTATACCAAGCATGTTTACTTTTAAGATCACTTGTAATTCTATCTGGTTCACTTTGTCTTATAGTCCTTGGTATGTAATGATCACAAATGGTAGAGATTTTGGATATTCATGGTTATATGAGAATTTTAACAATTTTCTATTTTGCCCCATTTTTACTAAAAACTTGCACAGATTCCTTTAAGAAATCTTTCTGCAGCCCAGTGTGCACTTTCAGTCTTCATTTCCACGTTAATGGTGGGGGGAGGGAACTGGCTGCAAATGTGTTTTTTATTGAGTTATCATTTAGGAGGAATTCCAAGAGCATTATTAAAACAGGTAAGGTACTGAAATAATTAACCATTGATAGAAGAAATAAGTTTTACACCTAACATAAGTGCTGGAAGGAAACAAAATACCCAATACTAGAACTGTTCATGTCTGATGGTGGAGGAAAAAGCACAAGAAGACATCAGAAACTGCTACATAGATGATCCATTCGAGAATCTGTAAAGGCATTGAATGGATATTGTGGGGATTTGGAGCAGAGATGGAAAGAAGAACTGCATCCAGAAGATCAGTGGGGTGGGGGTGGGGAGAACGAAAAGCAGGGAAGAGGACCTAGTTAGCAGATTCTGGAGCTAAATCCAGGAAAAGGAAGTGGGCCTGGAGCAGAAAAAAATAAGACAATTGTAGGGTTTTTTTTGTTTTTGTTTTTGTTTTTATAAAATAAATAGATTTTAATCTTAGTCCTTAAAATACAACTTCAAACTA